GACTGGTAAGTGATAAAAATAATTGTAGGGCTCCTGGCAAACAGCCAGAGCTATAGAGATACTGACTAACGATAGCAGGAATTTATGGCCCTAAGGGCCAAGCCTTTCCGAGGCTGGGGTGACAGGAGCTAGGGTCATGAGTGGGGTCACAGGCAGAAAACTTCCAGCAGCCCTTCTTGGGGTAAGGCCTGAGCCCTGTCCCACCAGCCTGGGTGGTGATTTCCAGGGCTCTCAGACTGCCACGCACCTGTCCACTCCCCCACTGCCACCTGCCCGCAGCCTGATGGGCCATTAGTCATCTGTCTGGTTGGGTCTTGTGTCTCTTGCAATTTGCTTTTTAAAAACCCATAAACTATTAGCGCTTTATAGTGACTTGTTCATTCATTAATTCTAGGGCCCCAGGGGAAGGCAGGGATCAGATTTTGGTGGAGTTAGAGGCAAAATCCACAGGGCACAGTAATCCATTCCTCTTGTAGCTAGGGGGCATTTACTGAGGCCCGACTCTATGCCTGGGGCCTGGCTGGGAAGGCAGTAAGGAAACCATGGCTGGTCCAGTCACAGAGTACCTTGGGGTGGGGGTACCTCAGGGCAGGACGCTGGGTCCCCAGTGCAAAACACCACGGTCTCATTACCACAAAAAAGACTGGGAGTGGCTTGTCCCTACACACACTCCCAGCTAATTCTTAAAGACATCAATAACCACCATAGAACCCTAGTGTATTGCTGTTTTGATGAAAACAAAACCTACATATCACAAAAGCTCAAATAATGCAGAAAAGTACTAGCAAAGTTCAAAACACTGAAGTTTTCCTACCCAGAGAAAAACCACCCTTAGCAGAGGTAGCAGAGCCAAGTGCTTGACAGCGCAGCCTCCCAGGCCAAAGAGTCACAAGCCAGTTGTGCAACATTGAGAACGTCAACTCTCCTCTGCCTCAGTTTCTCCAACCTGTGAAACTGCCCAACAGCAGCACCTGCACACAGGGGCATGAGGAGCATCAAGGAAGTCACCACTCACAGAGCACTTAGGATGCCACTAGCCAGAGTAAGTGGTCCCGAAGTGATTGCCCAGTGTATCCTTTTCAGATGTGCTCTGTACACATGAACTACACTTGCTTGTGGTTTTAGAACCTGATTTTTAAATATACTCAACAAGATATTCTAGGCATCTTTCCATGTCTATAAGCTCATTTGGGTAATAAGGTTTTGGTTTAAGAGCTGAGCAGCTTACACACTCAGGAGCCCACTCCTCACTGTAGATGCACACTAGCACCCCTTTAGAAGCTGTTTATTTTCTGCTTTCCCCAGATCCCTAAGGCAACTCCATGTGGAAGTGTAGAAACTAGGGCTCACAGACAGCAAATAACTTGCCCAGGGTCGCAAGGCTGGGACTTGAACCTCTGCCATCTGGACTTCAGAGGCAGAGCTAGAGAATGAGAATAAGCACTGAGGGCTTTAGATCAGGTGGACATGACTTTGAACTGTTCTGCCAGGACTGTCTGTGTCCTTTTGGGCCAGTCGCTTACCTCCCTTGTATGAGTTTTCTCATCTGTAAAATGGAGCCGATGATACCTTCACAAAGTATTGCTAGAGATGTCAATGACCTGGCTAGTAGCTGTTGTTTTGGGAATGGTAATACATGTGGGGCTCTGTGCTAAATCCTTTTCAGACAAAATTTCACTCAACTAATGAGAAGCACATCCTAGTAGGCAAATACCTCCTTAAGATGCACATTTCATGAGGGTAGGGGCTTTGGTCATTTTCCTGATTGTGTAACTTCAACACATAAAACATTGTTGGGTGCATAGTATATACTCAAAAAAAATGTTGAATGAATGAATGACTCTAAGTTAGCCAATATCAATGACAAAAGGGCTCTGTTACTTCTTATGTATGTAACTTTGGGCAAGTCTCTTTACACTTTTGAACTTCAGTTTTCTCCTAGTCTAAAGGATACAGTGATACTGGCAAAGCTTCTTGAGTGCTAACTCTGTCCTGGGTGCTATTCTAAGTTGTTTACATAGAGTATCTCCTTTAATCCTCACAATATACTTTGAGGTACTATTGTTAACCCATATTAAAGTTAAACTAGCTGAGGCAGAGGGAGATGAAGCCACTGGGCTAAGGTTTCCTCTGATGAGTGTGCACCTACTTAACACTACTGTATATGGCCTTTCTGAGAGTAACCCGCCCTTCCCCAGCAGCAGGGTAAGTCCTAAATACACTGAGATACAGCCAGAGATGGAATACTACACAGTAACAAAAAAGAGCAAATTATTGATAACCACAACAACATGGGTGAATTTCACCCTTATCTTGAAAGGAGCCAGGTACAAAAGACTATTACAGTTTCCAGATAAAATATAGGATATCAAGGTGAACCCGAATTTCACGTAAACTGCATTTTTAAAAATATCAGTATGTCCTGGGGGAAATTCAAATTTAACTGGCATCCTGGATTTTTATGAGCTAAACCTAGCAACCCTAAATATTATGTATGCATGATTCCATTTCTATGGAGTTTAAAAACAAGTGAAATGAATAAATGGTGATAGAAGTCAGGATAGCAGTTGCCATGGATAGGGATGGGAGTGAGTAGAAAGGATATTAGAAAACTTAGGTATCTTGATCTGGATGGGGATTACCTGCGTATAGCACTTGTAACAATTCACCAAGCTACACACTTAATATTTGTACATTTTACAAGATTTGTGAATTGTGACTCCTTAAAAAGATAATAGTTTAAAATTTTTATAGAGCAATACACCTTAACTATAAAATCTTTAGTAACAATACCTAACTGATGGGGTGCTTGGAAGGATAAACTGAGACAAAGGTTGTGAATCTGTCAGCACATTTTAGAGGCTCACAGTAAGAACTCAATAAATGGAAACCATTGTTAAATGTAACAGCAATATTCAATTCATGTTATGATGATTATCATCCCCTTCTGGGATTTATCTCTATTGTAGATTGGTTGGAGCGCCCTCAAGCGTGGACTTATTGTCATGGCACCTCAATTACTGCAAAGTGTACCTTTTATCCAAGCTTTCAGCCTCAATTCCAAAGGGCAATGCTTTGCTTTGCTTTTGCTCTAGGGCCACATAAAGTACCCACATGGACATCAGACCAATGGGTCCCAAGTCCAACTGCAGCCCTTCCCATGATAGCCCCCTGAAGTGTATCAGAAGGCAGGCAGAAGGGAGAGCACAGGTCTCTGATTCACTATCCCAGTGCAATCGTAAACATTATCTTGCTTCACAGGATCTCACATGATAATATTTGAAAGTAGCACTGGACAGGCTACTAAAAAATGTTTCACATAAATAGTAATTACAACTAGCTTACAGTGAGCACTTCCTGTGTGCCAGGCACCATGCTAAGAGATCTATGTCCACTTTTCCCTTTAATCCTTAACAACCCATGAGGCATATATTGTTTTTGTCACTTTTCCCCTCAAGAGTATGCTTTGGGCATCTTTCCATGTCAATAAATACAGCTGGGGCGGTAAGTACTTGATTCAAAGGCTGAGAAACTTAAACAGTCAGCAGCCACTGCCCAAGTGAAGATCAATAATAGTTAACATTTATTGAATGCTTTATTACACACCAGGCCCTATGCTAATTGTTTAACATGAACTATCTCTCATTTGATCCTTCAGGCAATCTTGAGGTAGCTTTTATTATTATTCAGATGAGGAATCTAAGCTCAGGGAAATAAAGAAAACGTCCAAGGTCAGATAACTGGTGAAAATGGCAGAGCTGAACTCGGGCTGGTTTGCTTTATGCCCTGGGCTCTCGACCAGCACATCTGAAGGACAGTATGGGGGAAGACACATGGCAAGGTCCCCAAGTGGAGAAAGGAGCCACTGACAAATCCTGAGGGCAGGCAGGAGGGCAGTGTGGACCGAGGCCATGTGGGAGAGAATTTCTCAAAAGCCACAATCTACCATGGGAGGACAGGAAGACTTCCTGGAGGTGGTGCCATTTAGACTGACTCAATGTCTCCAGGCAAGAAAGAAGGCCTTTTAATAATTTACCAGCTCCTGAGTGGTTTCATATCAGACACACATGGCTTCAAATCCTAACTGTGCCATTCTCTGGTCTTTTTAAAAACAGCATTATTGAGGTATAATTGGTATGCAATGAACTATACCTATTTAAAAGGCATAATTTTATGAGTTTTGACCTACATACTCCTGAACCCATGACCACAATCAAGATGAACATTTCTGTCACCCCAAAATTTTCCTCGTGCCCCTTTATAAGCCATCTCCTCCTCATCACATCCTCTCCCCCGACCCTTCACCTCCCCGGCCCCCCCACCAGCCCCATTCCCAGGCAACCATGATCACAACAGATTACTTTCTTTCACTATAGATTACTTTACATTTTCTGGAATTTTATAGAAATGCAGTCATACAATTTGTACTCTTTGTCTCACTTCTTTCATTGAGCATAATTATTTTGAGATTCATCCACATTGTTGCATGTATCAATAGTTTGTTCCTTTTTATTGTTAAGATATATATATTATAATTTGTTTACCACATTGCCCTCTGGATGGGCATTTTTCCCCCAGATTTTTGATCATTATAAATTAATCTGCTAAGAATTCATACAGTGTTTTTGAGTGGACAAATTAGGATAGGAGTGTGATTGCCAGGTCATATAAGTATATGTTTAACTTTTTAAGAAACTGCTGCAAACTGTTTTCCAAAGTAGTTGTACCATCTTGCATTCCCACAACAGTGTCTGAGAGTTCCAGTTGCTAGGGTATCTTTTTACATTTTTAGCCATTCTAAATGTAGTAGTTTTTAAACCTGTGGACCCCATTGATGGATTGATGATTTCTTAGCCTTTCTGAGCCTCACTTTTCCATTGTGTAAAATGGAGATAATCACATCAGCTTTGAAAGGTAGGGAAGGTGTAGTGAACCAGTACATAAGCAACATACAGTATAAGGACTAGCACATGGTACTTGTTTCATAAAAGGTCGTTATTTTATTGCAATTGAACCCCAGCCATCCCTTTGTCTGGAGACCTACCCCAGAGCACATCTTCAAACTAGATGGTAAAAGCCGCTTCCTTTGCAGGGAACGGGTGCTGTTAGTCTGGAGGAATAGCAATAGCAGCACTGTTGCAGTTGATCCTTACAAAGCCCTGTGAGGTAAGTGTTTTTCTTTCATTTTACAGATGAGAAAACTGAGGTGTAGTAACCAGTCATTGGCCAAGATTACACAGCAGTTAGGCAGTTGTATTGGGATGTGAACCTAGATCAGTCTGGTTTTGGGTCCAGAATCTTGCTAATGGAGCACGTGGCTCAGGGCTAGCAAAAAGGCCCACTCACAAAAGCACTTCCTGAGGCTCAGGGCTATCTTCAGTAGGGTTCCCTGGAAACAGAGCCTGAGGCAGGGATTAGGCACATGTGATTTATTAGGGGAGAGAACCAAGCAAAGATATAGTCTCAGGTCAAGTCTTGCAAGGAGGCCAGCCTTTATACCTCTGCATAAGCTGGCCATCTAATGCAAGCCACTCTGTGGGTGAGGGGGAGAACTTTTTGGGTGAAGTGCCTTCCAAGGTCATGATACTCAGGAGAAGGAGAAACAGTAAGCTATTGGAAACCAACAATTGAAACATCTACTGGGGTGGGAGTACTGACCCCATAAAGAACTCCAGAGGTTCCCAAGGCACCCATACTACTTGTCTACCTAATGAAACAAGCTCTAGGGCATTCTGGAATATTCACTTCCCAGGCTTCTTTTGGAGAATTCTCCATCCTGCTGCAATCAGCATGTCGAACAAATCCACCTGTGACATAATTAAAACGTAACCTTTATTTTTGTCTCCCATTGTCCCTTCTAAAATGTATTTGGGGAGTGATGTTTTCACTGCCAGTAGGTACAAACATCCCCATTACTCTTCCACTCACTCTCAAGAAACAGTTCTATGGTCACTTTAGGAGGCAAACACAACATGAATTTAGAAATTAGAATGTCCAGTCAAGTTACAAAATCAAAATTCCCAGCTTGACTTGGGTTGAAACCTTCTCCCCTCACCCTGCTTGGTCCTGCTGCAGGCTGGCAGCCTACTGTGGGGGGGAATGGTGTGGGTCCCTCTTCTCTTTTCCTTCCCCCTCCCCCCAAGTGGGGCTGAGAGGGCAGAGAGGAGAGGGTCTCATTTGACCTGCCGCCATCCTGACGGACGCTGAGCTCTCTGGATCCAGCAGACATTAAAAGCTGCCCCTTTTTGTCACAGGATGCTGTTATAGGCTCCTGGAGGTGGCCACTGCTGCAGGCCCTTCTCACGCTTGACCTTGATGGATGCACTTCTCCTCCTGGGCGTCCCTAGCAACCCCTTCCTCAGCCCTTAGGAATCCGCCATCATCCAACTCTAGCTTCTGGCTGCCACCACTTCTCTGCCCCTCCATGAGGCCCTATGGGACAGGACCCAAGCTGACCCCGTGTAGGTGCTCTCTGCCCGTGCTGGGCCATGGAAACCCTCAAACAGCCACTACTCTGCAGCACCTGGGAGTGTGGGCTGACCTCAGCACACCCTACTCTCTAGCTCCTTCATCAGTGCATCTGAGCAACCTGTTTCACCCAGCCTCTCCATGTCCCTGCCTCCCCCAGACCACTAAGCCCTCACACAGGGGTCACGTTGAGCTCCCCAAAGAGTCCCCTCCTAGAAAAGCCCATTCCACTCTTCCAAGAAGGCCCCCAAAGGATTCCTTGTCCCCTCTTTCCATTACAGAACTGTGGGTGAATACGCAGGTAATAATCCATATAAAGGTTTTGAGTGGCCCCATCCAACTTCCTAAGCCTCAGTTTTCCCATTTCTTCATGGAGGTGGTGATACTTACCCACCCGGGGTCATTGTGCGGACAGAGTGACACAGTGAATTTACAGAGCATTGCCAGATCTGACTCTCTAGGACTCCACAATCACGGACATGCAACTCCATCTCTGTGTGACCATTTACTAGTGATTTTCTTCCCTGGGTCTCAGTTTTGTCACCTACCAAATGGTACTCATAAGTGCCCCTACCCAACAGTGTCTCCACGAGGTTGGCTGTGTGGATGCATACATACACACTGCATAGCACAGAGCCTGGCATTTGGTAAGAATTCAGTCCTGCCAGATGTTAGGCTGCACAGGCTCTTAGGTTGGTACTGGTGGAGCAGTTCCTTAATTGTCCCTTACCTTCCCAGGCCCTGTTTTGGAAATGCTTCAGCCAGGCCGAGATCTCAGACCCTGGAAATAGAGAGGACAGCCTGTGCTTTCAAGCAGTCATGCTGACTCAGGTTAGAAAATCAATGTGTGAGCAGAATAACACAGCTGGGTTCTCAGCTCTTCTGGGATATCTTCTAGTCCGTCCTGCACATGTTTTTATCTCACTCTCAGCGAGGTGGCACCTCTATTCTGGGTCCAGATTCTGAGGCTTGTGAGCAAAAGGCTGGCACCCTAATAACAGAAGTCTCTGGCTCCTTGAGGCATAATAGGCCCAAGGGTCACAAGCTTCGCATGGCCCCCCCGCCCGGGGTCAGGCATGTTTGGCACTTGCCAAGCCCCTGACTTCTCCCAGCCTTATTCTGGACACTTCTCAAGCCAAGTCAGGCTCCGGACAGCTGGCTGGGCAACCCACGACCTCAGACTGGGTCAGATCCACCAGGTAAGCATCTGTTTGTTTAAAAGTATGGAACATTTTGTTCTTTAGAATCCCAAGGGCCAGAGTATGAACCCTCCCCATCTACAGTTCAAGCCCTGACACTGCCGTTTACTCTTGGCAAGTTTCTTCTGAGTTCAGGTTTCCTGTCTGTCAAATATAGACTAAGAAGTAACCCCACCTTCTAGGGTTGTTGTGAGATTCAGGTAATGTGTGTGAAGCAATGGTGCATACACTGGCAGGCACTCAATACCTGGGAGAGGTTGCAAACAGGGCAGTGGGCACCATGTAAGAAATGCTGAGGTGCGCACTCTGTGCACGAGAGCACAGGCTGGGAGCCGGACTGCCTGGCTTCAAAACCAGTGCTCTACTCTCTTCTGTGTGGCCACAGGTAACCTCTCTGAGTCTCACTGTGTGCTTTTCTTCACTGTAAAATAGAAACAACAGGGTCATGGGGACTCAGTTAGATTAGGACTGTTTCAGCTAGGAAACAGTCACTAGCACACAACAATCACTTAATGAGCATTAACTGTTTTTAATTACACAAGTTAGTAATGATGCTGAAATCACACAGGTATGGGTGTTTGACAGAATTAATGGGAAGGGAACTCATATTTAGTGAGCATCTACTATGTACCTGGTGCTCCCAGAAGCCGTATATCCATATCTGTGTATATAGGCATGTGTACATGCATGTGCACACACACACACACAGAAGTAGGTATTTCTGTTTTCATTTTTTAAAATTTTGTTTTCATTTTTAAAAACCTTTATATTGTAAAACAAACCAGAGATGGAGGAAATCATACAAATTAAATTTGTAGCTCAGTGGGTTATTTCTAGGCAAACACCTTGTAACCACCACCCAGGTCAAAAAATAGAACTTCGCCAGCCACCTCATAAGCCCCTCCAGGTACCCCATTCCAATCACAGCCCTTCTCCCCAGAAGTAATCACTAACCTGATTTTTGTAGTAATTAATTCCTCACATTTCTTAATGGCTTAATCATTGGAGTGTGCATTCCTAGACATTATATTTTAGTTTTGCCCATTTTTTAAAAAACACAGTGAGTCTTTTAAAGCTTCTCTTAATCCATAGGTTCTTTCTATATCTCTTTCTTTTCCTTGTAGTTTATCTGTTAAAAACTTCAGGCTGCCTAACCTATGGAGTTTCTCAAAATCTGGCTTTTGTCTATTGCATCCTCACAGTGCAGATCAACATGGCCTTTTGGCCTCTGTGTTTCCTGCAAATGAACAGCTGGATCGGACCCAGGTCCATCCCTTTGGCATGTTACAGAGGGTTCTGGGTTCTTTTATCAATAAGCACATACACGGCTGGAGTTTGCTCTTTTTTGATGTTAGCTGCTTTTGTGTTCAAGGGCTAAATACATTAATTCATTGCAGGCTGCAAAATGGCAATATGGTATCGTTTTGTTTTCATGTATTAATTGTAGTAACTTTATAAGAAGATTTTTTTCTTACTCTGTTTTCTGGTTACCCAGGGGTACAGTTCATATAGGAAAGGTGAGATAAATACTTGATTCTTTCCTTCCTTTACCTAGTTTTAAAGAATGTAATTTGTTCCCTGTAGTGTTTTTGCTGAATGTCATTACGAACTCAGAAGGTGACCAATTAGTGTGTTTGCTGAATATAGTTATGAACTCAGGGATTGAAACATATTTGGTGAGTTCAGATCAATTGCAGTTACCTTTGTTGCAGCTGGAATTACACCATTACACCATCTTCAGGTTGGCTTCCAAGTCCTTTTAACAGCCTTTGATAGTTAGTTTCCTGATTATCTGAAATAACAAGATATTCCAGGCTCATCTTAAACATTTCCTGCTACAGATCTAGCATCAGCAATTTCTCCAAGAGTTCCCTTTATTTTTTTAAATAGAAAATGACATTTAAAGACTATAACCAGAATCCTAGGTATGCTCCCTGCTACCAGATTAGTCATTCTTTTTAGACCTTCTTAGTGGATAGAACTAGGTATTTTATATAAATATAGATACAGGTACTGAAAAAAGAGAGGGGATGAGAACTCAACAGTCCAAGCAGGTTTATTGCTGAACCTGAGAGGGACCCCTCCGTCCTGGTCAGCAGAACAAAGGAAAGAGGGTCTCTAACAGGTCAAGAGGCTTTTTATGGCCAGGTTTTTTGGCGAGCTCTTTGAGGGGAGGGGTCAGGGAAAAGGTGGGCTTGTTGCTTGCTGACGTGTCCTGGGGAGAATGCTTGTAGCCTAGGTAAGACGACACCTGGGTCTCTCTGAGATGGTGGGTGGGCTTATTCAAAAGGTGGTACTCAGGTCCAGATTACCTGCTTGGACTGTTGAGTTCACATCCCCTCTCTTCTTTCAGGTATATTATGTACAAATATATATATCTTGGTTTTCAAGGACATAGATGATAAAATTGAAAGATTCTATAATTACTGATTTGCCTTAGCCCACTTTAAACACAAAACAGTCTCAGAATCACAACTGAAACTACCACTACTAATTAGAATATTGAAAACGGACACAAACATTTTTGCATCCTGCTAAGGACCTCCTAAACAAGGGGCATCCCCACCCCCTGCATTTTACACATGAAGAAATGAGCCTCTTCAAGGCATGGTTCAGAGTCTCCTACTTCTGAGTGTCCAAGGCAGAAATGTAGAAGACAGAAGTTCAAATCCCAAGTCAACCATGAAGTCATCATAGCTCCGCAGGCAGTTTCTTCTCCCTCTCTGAGCCTGTTTCCTGACCTGTGAAAATAAAGAGGCAGGTTTACATCACCTCCAAGGCAAAGTAAAATTTGGGTCTGTGATATCATACAGACTTGGCTCCAGTCCAGCTCTGTTACTGAAAAGGGCCCCTAGGCAAGTGACTTCCCCTTTTCGGGTTTCCTTGGGTAGACGGAAGGACCCTAGCTGGCTGTTCACAGAGTTGTAATATGTCATAATTGAAATCATACAAGAAACTATTTAGCACAGCGTCTGACATATATAATCCCTCAAAAAATGGAAACTCTTTGTTGTCATTGTTTATCTGAGACTCTTCTAATCCTGAGATAATGTGGTTCTACAAAATGTAGCACTGGGAGGAATAAAAAGTAATGGGATTCAATTGAGTAATGGGGCAGGGACTTCCAGGGCGTCTGAATTCTCTTCCAACCCTCTCCTGCCCCAAGACCAGGTTCTAGATGGGTGTTCTGCTCCTCCTGCTGTCAGTGTCTGGGATTGCACCCTGGGCTTTGGGTACCACCAGCTGCACCACAGTTTGGGTTGAGGATAGAGGTTTATTCCAGTGCCAAAGACACTGCAGTTTGGACAAGATCTTCCCTTGCTCTTTGCCAGAAGAACTGCCATTTGTAAAAACACTTAATTCTTTTCCTGGCATGGAGCAAGGTGTTTCCTTTTATGAGTTTATTTAATTAGCTTTTTGCCCATGAGAAACTAGACAGAAGCTTTGGAAGTTTGAATGACTTGACCAAAGTCACATAGCTGGGAATAAGATTGCCAAATTGGGGCAGGCATGCTGAATAAGGCATCCAGAAGACTTCCTTGTTCTTATCTCTAGAACGTCTGAACATCTTACCTTATATGGTAAAAGGAACGTTGCAGGTGTGATTAAATTAAGGATTTTGAGATGAGGGATGATCTGGGTGGACCCAATGTAATCACATAACTCCTTTTAAGAGGGAGGCAGGAAAACTGGACAGCTACATGTAAGAGAATGAAACTGGATTATTGTCTAACCCCATACACAAAAGTAAACTCAAAATGGATCAAAGACCTGAATGTAAGTCATGAAACCATAAAACTCTTAGAAAAAAACATAGGCAAAAATCTCTTGGACATAAATATGAGCAACTTCTTCATGAACATATCTCCC